CGTCGTCTTCGGCGAGGGTGAAGGAGCCGTCTGCGCCGACGACGACGAGGATTTCGAGAGACTCAGGGTTGGGTGATCCGGTTTTGGGGCGCGCGGCGGCGTCCAGGGGAACGATGGAACCTTCCTTTGCGAGGACGGGGACGAGGTTTAGGGGTCGTTGGATGGTTAGTTCGCCGGCACGGTTGTAGACAACGCCTGTGAAGATGTCTACAAAACGGCCTTCTGGGAGCCAGATTTTGGCAGCGCCGAGATGCGTGATCTTGTCACGGGGCTGGGTGATGGGTGCTACGATGAGTTCGGTGCCGAAGCGGAACTGGTTGGGTACGTTGTAGGCTTCTTCGTTTTCGGGGTAGTCCCAGTACATGGGTTGTACGAGGGGCTCGTCATCGCTAGCGCTTCGAGCGTTCATTGTGTACAGGTATGGGATGAGGCGGTGGCGGAATCGCAGTGTATCCTCGACAATGCCACAGGCTTCAGCGTTGTATCGCCAGGGCTCGCGAGTGTTGAAAGGGTTGTTGTCGCAGTGCAGACGCAGAATGGGCGACCAGCAACCAAGCTGTACCCAGCGCGTGTACAGTTCATCGTTCTTGTAACCATGTGTGTGTCCGCCAATGTCGTTACTCCACCATCCGTACCCAATGTTGGACGCGGTAGCCGTGAACTCGGGCTGGAAGTGCAAGCTTTCCCAGGTAATGATTGCATCACCTGAGAAGCCGACTTGGTAGCGCTGAGCACCTGGACCGCCGAAACGAGAAAGAATCAAGGGACGCTGGGAGCCGCGGCCGCTGTCGAGGAAATGGAAGTGGTTGAGCACCCACAGTGGGTCGACGCCAGGAATCTTGGACGTATTACCCTGTTGCCAATCCACCCACCAAAAGTCGACACCTCGCTCTTCATGCTCGTGGTGCACAACATCAAAGTATGCATCCATGAACTTCTTATCCGTACAGTCGAACTGAATTGTCTGCCTTGACGCCGGGTCGATTCCAAGGTACTTTGCAACTCTTTCGTACTGCGCTTCAAACGGCCTGATACCGTCTGCAGGATGCAAGTTGAGCGTCAGTTTCATGCCACGGTCATGGAGGTTCTTCATAAAGGCATCCGGGTCAGGGAAGAGCTTCTTGTTCCACGTGTATCCGGTCCAGCCATTGTAACCACCTGGAATGTCCCACACCAGATGCCAGTCCATGTCGACCACAGCCACGTTCATGGGCACGTCATCCCTGTCAAAGTGATCGTGCAGATCGAGGTACTCCTTGGCCGTGTATGCATGGTATCGACTCCACCAGTTGCCCAGGGCGTACCGTGGTAGCAGAGGCTGACTACCAGAGACAGCATAGTATGCGCGCATAGCCTCGCGATAGTCGTGGCCGTACATGAAGATGTACTGGTCGGTCCTATCGCCACTCCTACGGCCTGCGATCCAGCCATTATCCTCGAAGAGCATCGACTTGGTGTCATCCAAGAGTGCCATGCCCTCCCTGGACAGCACACCCGGACCCAGCCTTGCGCGACCATTGACACCATCCAGTGTGCGCGTGGTGCCGCCCAAGTTGGAGAGCTGCTGGCCATATGTCCAGGTCCCTGTCACAGAGCCCTTGAGATGTATCTTGAGGCCCTCGGGGCTGAACTTCTTCTTGTCGTAGACGACATGGAAGCGCTTTGTGACGATTTCGATTCCGTGGCCCCTATCCCAGACATAAAAGTCGGGCACGGCTAGTCTGCGGTTGATAGCGAAGGTGCTGGCGCGGTCTTCGAAGCGGCCGTCGTCTGCCCACTCGAAGCGGAGCAGACCATCGGTGAGGATGGTGAAGCGGTACTTGTCGCCGGCGACAATGGCATCAGGGTGCGCGACCGGGCGCGTCTTGAAGTCGTAGCGCGCTTTGGTCTTTGTCATGTTCATGGCTTGTGAAGAAGCAGGCAGAGCAATGTCAGGCAGGCCGACAAGCTGGCGGAGGAAGCATCTTAAGCAGAATCCGGGGAAAGCAAAGCTCGGACGGCATGGGCTGGGTCAAGGGAGTCGATGCGCATGACCTCGGCGGGTTTATTAGTGACGAGTGCCAGGACCGGCGAGCCCCCTGCACGGCAAGTCAGGCGACGACCTATAGTCGCTCCAGGACCATGCACACACGACTCCATGGTGAACGCCTGGGGAAAGGCGGTGAAGTTGAGTGTGTTACCAGATGGGCGTGAGGACGAGCCGCGTGCTGGCCGTCATTGGAAGCCCGTCACGGCCATGGTCGTCCAACTATCCACCTAAGTAGCCATGCTGCAGGGCAGCTGCAAGGAATCGCGCCAGAAGACCGGCGCCATTGCACTGCATGTCCACATCCATGCTTGTACCATGGTTCTCCTTGAGGCCAAACACTGGTACAAATGTCATGTCAACCGTCTTGACCAAAGTAGAAATTCCACGTTTTGATTCTGCCCTTTGACGAGGACCGATGATGCTTACTGCATCCATGGCCCCACCCCCGCACATCTCCATTAGGTTTACATCCTACTCAGACAGGACACACATGTAAAAGAAGGAAACCAAAGTACCAGATACCCGACCTGTTCACCTTACCCCGCTCATCGCCGACAGCGCTCTTCAATGCCTTTGCTCTCAATTACTCGTCAAGTCCACGTCTCTCACCAGCCTATCCTCATCCTTCTTGTACGGAATGCCAGCCTTCTGCCTAGCCATGTCGTTGATCCACTGGCCGTTGGGCTTGATATGCTCGCCCTTGGCGAGCTCGTCGGCCAGATACAGCCAAGCCAGTGCATTGCCTACCGTGCTGACCTCATCACTGACATGGTGGCTGGCATACTCGGACATGGTCGTGTGCAGTTCAGAATCAGTGAATAGATCGTAGAGATGCCTTGCAACTGCATCATGGTCGCCAGGCTTCACAAGGAAACCAGACTTTCCGTGCTGAACTTGAAGTGGGATACCGCCAGCACGAGTTGCAATAATGGGAGTGCCCTTGTGGAGCGCCTCGCTGACCTTGACCTCGAAACCCTCGCGAGTGGAGAGCTGTAGAGCAACATGGGCGCAAGACATGAGCGTGTTGAGCATCTGGTCCGAGGGGCCAATACGCATCATGATGATATCCTGTCTGATGTCTTTATAGTCGTCTGCCAATGCATCTGCTGCCTGTTTAAAGATTCTCGTAGCATCGGGATCATCAACAGCCCCATGGCCAGCAATGACGAGTTGCGGAATCTGCTCGAGGGGCGCATCCTTCATGTACACTTTGCGCAAGCGAGCATACGATGCAAGAACATCCGGAATTCCCTTTGACGGGTCGAAACGAGCAATCTGAGTGATGTACTTACGATCCGGGAGGGCCATTGGACCCATACCCACTTCAAAGCATCGGACTCTGAGGTTATGCATGTAGAACTGTTCGTCCCAGTTGTGCATGTGCTTGTTGAGTCCGTCTAGCCAGTCGGTCGTGGCAGGCATGAATCCCACCTTCTCTGCAGGGACATTCTTGGGAACAAAGGCGCGAACAGGATGACTGACAAAGATGTCACAATCTTTGATATGGTTCCAGACCCAGTTCCACACTTCAGACGTGGCTGTTCCCTCCTGGTCAGCAAGATCGGCCCGCACCTGGATGTGGCTGCGGAAGATGACGGGACGGCCAGGGTCCTTTTCTTTTGCAATCTTGACAAGACTAGGCATCTGAGGGTCGTCAACGATAATTACGTCGGCACCGCCTTTGTCACGAGCAGAGAGTGGGCCACCAAACTCGGTCCAATGACACTTTGCTGCCTCTTCCAGGACCCATTCGTCAAGTTTGGCTATCTTTTCTTCAGTCAGGCGCTCGCCGTCCATTGCTACGCCTTGAAGGATGTTGTGGTTGTCTTTGGTGATTCGAAAAATTTCATTCTTGCCAAAAGGGACGTACCTGCGGACTTTTTAATACGGAATAGCTACAGTTGTAATTGATAAAAACGTACCATTTGCAATCGACTCCGACAAGGCGCAGATATCGTATCAGCGCGTGTCTCATCAGCGCTACCCCTCCGCCTTGTGCTGTGCTGTTGAAGAAAGCAATTTTGACATTGTTTTTCTTGAGTGAGTTGGCATAGTGCATGGTTGCAGCTCCTGTCGTGTCGGCCCTGACGGTATCCTTGTAGCTGTCGAGTTCAGTGATTTTCACGCACCCGTCAAGATCAACCAAGACCTGTCGACGATGGCCCATCTGAACCGGAAGATCGCCTCTGACATTGAAGCGCTTGGAGGCCTTCCTGGCCATATACTCTGCCTGTTGGTCCACAGGCATCGATGTGTGCTCGGCTTTGTCATGTGGCTCAATCGGGAAAACAAAGGGTAGGATGTCAAGCTCCTGCCACAGACGCACGGCTAGATGGGGACTCAGCCGGTGGAGCTCGGCAGTCACGCCAGCGCCCATAGGCTTCAAGACACGGTTCTCGCGGTATTCACTCAAGAAGGTGGTGATTGCGCTGATCAGGGCCTCGGGGGCATCTTGTTCCGATTCAGGCGTGGACACATACGATGTGGATTTTGACGAGTCGTTGGACGAGTTGCGTGTGCTTCGCGCCGTCGCCAAAGGCTTGGTTTCGCTGCTGATGGTGTATCTTCCGTCATGCAAAGCAATACAATAGTCGATCTCGCCGTCTTCCGATTGGCTGACGGCGAGACCAGCATACACAGCCTGATCGTGCAACATATGAGTAGTGTGTTTGGGCAAGAGGGGAAAAGGGTACTGACTTCAACAGCAGTATCAAGCGTGCCTTGCTCTTCTTTTAACCTGTGCAGAGAGTCCGACGACAGGAACGCGGTGACGCTTCGCTGACGTCGTTCGAAGGTGGGCCGACAGTGGTACGTTGGCCGCCACTCAGCGGTGTTGTCAGCCGATGCGTGAAGTGACATGGCAGGCAAACGAAGTTGGCCTTGTGCGTGGTTTGTAGTAATTTTACTATGGGAAGATGGAGTATGGATTGCAGTGGAATAGTTAATAGTTTAACGTGTGTCACAGCGATTGATGGTAGACTTGGATAGTTGGATAGTATTTTGTATGCATTTTGACCTCGAGGCAGAGGCAGTTTATATAGACGACTCGACCTGGCTCATTCACAGACCATATACTGTGACTTGCACAGAGAGTGGAATTCCCAGTGTACACATTGCTGGGCACGGCAACAATGTGACGTGGAGCAGGGGCGTTTGAGGGCAGGTGATAGGCTATGGTGCAGGGCAAACGGAACGCGGGCCTATTGACCAAGGCGTGTTGCCTATCGGAAGCAGTGAATGGAGCAATAGGCAGTCACCGGGTACTGTAGGCGTGGCGAGAAGCAACGGGCAGGGCAAGATGGGTTGGAGTAGGGTGGCACGACGATGGGCGGACGCAGGACGAAGTGGTGGTAATGTAGGGTGAGCCTCTGCATCGGGGAAAGGCATAGGCGAGGCCGCTAGCCGGCTCGGGTGTGATTACAGCATTACCGCTTTACTCTACCAAGCGAATACGGCCCTGTCTAGTCTTCCCACTTGGGATGAGATTATGTATTTCTATATACATGTATGCACATATCCACACGTACACATGTCCGCTTGGTTTGGTACATGTGAAGGACCCTGCCACGGCAAGATAAGATGGGCGCGCAAGTTGCGGGGGAGCGGCCAACAGAGTCCACGTCGAGCCGTCTAGGGCGTCGTGTAGCCATCGTGATGGTGAGTACAAGGACTCTTGTGTTTAGAGGCCGAGGGCGAAAATGCCATTGCACGGCACGCAACGCAGCATCGGATACTGCATGGTGCCGCTGTGCCTAGCCTGGTTGCGGGTGTATGGCGACACATCGTGATGAGCTGTGCCACCCGTAGCAACAGGCGGCGTGCATTCGTGCAAAGGAAGAAGGCTCGACATGTCAACATGTCGACATGGCATAGGGAGTCCAATGGCATTGGCAAAAAAAAATGGTGTTGTCCCAGGTGGAAGGGGACGCTCACGTGCAAAATATAGCCGCGCCCAATGCGGCCTAGTACCAGCGGGACGGGCAGACTTAGCGCGGGCATGGGTTCCGGGCAGCGTGTGGAGCGGGTGGACGGCCTGGATTGGGCGCAGAGACAGCATGCATATCAGCGGTATAGCACTTCGCACTATGTATGTATGCATGTGTGTAGTATGGGTATCCAACCATGCGTGTAGGCAGTTGTAAGCATGTGCTCGTCGATGATGCCCCCAGCAGACTGGCGGCCGTGGCGCGAATGGCCCTGCCTTGGTCCCTTCCGCCCGCCGTACTCGAAACGATTCTTCCTCCGTGCAGCCAAGCATCGCACTAGGCTGCTGCGACCCACCCACCTTCCGCTCAAACCTCAGCCATCTTACTTACCCTCACAACACCAAGCTGTCTCCGCCTCACGCTGGCCCCAACCCCAACCCCAACCCCCAACCACCACCACCGCCATCTATCCATCCAGCCCCTGGCGCGCCCACGAGCAGGCCCATTCCTCCGCCTAGTCTCTTGCTCCGTGCTACCTGCTGGCCCTGCGCCAACAGCCTTGCGACCCACCGCCGCCTACGCGACCGTCGCATTCCGCACCCGCCTCTTCGCGTCTCCCCAGCCCGCAACGCGCAGCTTCCTGACTGTCCATCTTCGCTTCTTGTGCCCCCGCTTACCTCCCCATTGTGGCCATGAACCACTATCCTGCCCGCGTCATGGGGGGCCCCCAGGTTGGCCCAGCCCAGCGCCTGAACGAGCTTCTCGATAGCATCAAGGCCGAGTTTGAGACGGAATCTCAGCGCAGCGTCGAATATGAGGGGCAGAGTGAGTACTTCCCACCGCACCAGAGCGCACCACGCATACACAACGTCTTGCCATGGCGCTCGTGGCTATGCAAACATTCGACCACGTTTTCCCTAGTCTTAAGCTCGACAGCGTCTGCGCACATGCTAACCACCACCCCTTCACAGTTTCCCGTCACATTCAAGAAATTGAATTGATCCGCAGCAAAGTTTACTCGCTCGAGCAGTCACACAATCAGATGAAAGCAAAGTGAGTAGCTCTGTTACTCTCGGCCTCGCATGCCGCCATCGCACATACTGATCCCACGCAGATATGAAGAGCGCATTGCCCAGCTAGAGCGTGAAGTCGAGGCTCGCGGCGGACCCAGCCAGAACTCGCAGCACCACGGCCCCTCGCAGCCACAGCCGCCACAGATTGGCCATGGACCCAGCAATCTCTTTGGCGGCATCATGGCGGGTAGTGCTGCCCAGGGTGGCCCGGGACTGGCTCCTCCTCCACAAGAACCACCGCAGGGACATGGAATGCCACAGCAGCTTGGCGGTCCTCAAGGACCACCAGGACTGAACCCTGCCCCAGGCCCGCCACAGCACTTCGGTGGCTACCAGCCCGGCCCATCCGTTAACGGTGAGTTTCACAGACCTTTCTTGCACTAATAGAACATCATAACTGACATGGCCAGGCTACGGACCCCCCCAGCCTACTGCCTCGCCCGGTGCTAAGCGTCCAGGCCCTGCCCGTGGACCTCCTAACCCAGCGACTCCTCAGCAGAACAACCCCGCCCCTTATCCCGGATCGCCCCAGGTCCCACGACCAACTCCTCCTCCCCACCACCAGCAGCCCAATGCCTTGATGCCACCCAATCACATTCCTCTCAGCCAGAGCAACGTCCTGGCCGACCTCGACATTGAGCAATTGCCTGAGAACCTCAAGAAGGAGGGCAGCGATTGGTTTGCTGTCTTCAACCCTCGCTCCAGGCGAGTTCTTGATGTTGACCTCATTCACAACCTACCCCACCAGAGTGTGGTCTGCTGTGTTCGCTTCAGCTTGGATGGTAGGTGGGTCGCAACTGGTTGCAATCGATCCGCGCAGATTTTCGATGTCGAGACTGGTAACCCAGTCGCCCATCTCCAGGACGGTAGTCTACCCGAAGATGGAGATCTCTACATCCGAAGCGTCTGCTTCAGCCCTAACGGGCAATATCTTGCCACTGGTGCTGAAGACAAGGTCATCAGGGTCTGGGACATTGCTAGCCGCACCATCAAGCATCAATTCACCGGCCACGAGCAGGACATTTACTCGCTCGACTTTGCCAGGAATGGAAAGATCATTGCATCCGGAAGTGGCGATAGGAGCGTCCGTCTCTGGGATCTTGAGTCCAACATGCAAGTTTCAAACTTCTCCATCGAGGATGGCGTCACCACGGTGGCCATTTCGCCCGACAACCTCTACGTCGCAGCCGGTTCCCTTGACAAGAGTGTCCGTGTGTGGGATATCCAGACTGGCCAGCTTGTTGTCCGTCTCGAGGGCGAGCACGGCCACAAGGATAGTGTCTACAGTGTTGCTTTCGCTCCTTCTGGTAACCGTCTGGTCAGTGGCAGTCTGGATAAGACTATCAAGATGTGGGAGCTGTCTACCCAGAACCGCTTCGTTCCCAACGGAAACCACCCTAGCGGCAAGTGCATCCGCACATTTGAAGGACACAAGGACTTTGTTCTCAGTGTCGCGCTTACCCCGCACGGCGATTGGGTGCTCAGTGGTTCCAAGGACCGTGGCGTCCAATTCTGGGACCCCCACACTGGTGTTGCACAGCTTATGTTGCAGGGACACAAGAACTCTGGTATGTTTATCACTATGTCCTACGCACGCAGATCATTTACTAACTGGCTGTTTAGTCATTTCCGTCGCTCCCAGCCCTACAGGAGGCGTCTTTGCTACCGGTAGCGGTGACATGCGCGCCCGAATCTGGAGGTTCGATAGGTACCCCGGACCTTAGACAGATCCTGAGATTGCACTCTCGCTGCCGCCGCCGCCGCCGCCACCACCCCAACCATCGTCACAACCTCCACCGTCATCACTACCCCAACCACCGCTGCGGCCTTCAATATCCTCGCTCTGGGGTCTCTCCCCGAATATTACTTGATGGTTCTGCTTTCTGATGACATTGTTTGAATTATTTTTCGGGTGTTTTTTTTCATTACGGTGTTGTCGACAAACAAGTGCTTATGCCCCATTCTTATTACTGGATGTAACAGATGAACGCATACGGAAAGAAGGGATTTGCTATCTATTTGTTTTTTACTCTTTTTTGATTCCCAGGCTTTTATCACTTCCCTATCTATAGCTGAAGTATCGGTCTTGCTTTATGAATCCTTGTCTTGCGTGATTTTATGCAGTGAAGGTACTAACATGGTGAATACGTCGAGGCGGGTATCTAATATTAGTCAAACCTTCTGTGTCGATTACGGAAGAGAAGCAAGACGAGCGGATACGACCAAGTACCAAGTGAAAATGACCCTTGTAGTGCAAGAGATCAGTGCAACGTAAGCTGAACATACTCCAGACGTGACATGAGCATGTGAACCGCATAGATCTTGTCCTACGATACACATGCATACTATATATTTAATTGACTCTGTGCCACTCGGGGAATACGATTTGGTTTTCTTTCTTTCTTCTTCATGATCGGTGTGTATGGACTAAATGAAGCGATTAAAGCTGCTAACGTAACCTAGGTAAAAAAACAACTTGTACGCGAACTCTTTACTTTCTTCAAGGAAAAAAAAAATAGAGATTTTGAAGTATATTATTATCTAGTTTTATTTTATTGCGTGGAGGTAGTGTGTTAGCGTATTGAAGAAGAAAAAATAGGGTTAGTAGGTGAGTTAAGGGCGGGGCGGTATATATATATGTGTGTGTGTGTGGAGAGAGAGATTCAAAAGGTAAGTTGCGAGGATGGGGACGTGGTGTTGTTTGTAGGTTTATGGATAGATGGAGAAGATCGAGGGTAGGGGACTGTGTATTTGTTATAAAGAGGTGACGATGTAGGATTGAGAGAGAGAGAGATAGTATGGGGTAGGAAGAGGTGACCGTGGGAGGGTATATGACGTGGTAGTGTAAGGTTAGAAAGGAAAGGGGGTTGTGTATGGGTGTGGCGGGGGTTGAGTGTGAGTGAAATAGGTGGCTTAGAGTTGTGACAAGGGGAATTTATAGTCATAGGGGGGGACGTTGTGGGGTAGGCTGGGCTGTTGAGGGTGAAAGTGAAGTAGTGGTAAGGGAGTGGTGTGCTTGAGTGGGTGCCTAGCAGTCAGTGCCTCGGTTGTTACCGTTATTACGCATATCTATTAGCATTTCACTACATTTACACGCTCGTCCATTCAAATTGATTTTTTTGTTGGCACAAACTGAAGTTTCCAAAGTGATCATTGATCTGTCCTAAACTATTTGCTGTCCAGCCTATTGCAAAGAGAAGCCTGCAGGTATTTCCGTAATCAAAACATTCAATCAACATCCCCATATGTACTCTGCCTTCCATTACTCTCCATTAAAGCCACCCTGGGGCTTATATCTCGTTATTGCCGTTTAAAACCCCAATCCGTGACGCCTAGCCTGACCGTAACTTTCACCCGCAAACATCACACGCTTATTGCTCACAATTGTAAGCGCTTAATCAAGCTTACGTCGCTTTGTAGGATTCTTCCGCTCGCTGTTCCTACCCAGCTCGAACACAGCCTCAGGACTCAGACCCTTGAATAGATTATCCCGCTGCGCCTTGATAATAGCTGCTTCCTTTTCAGCGGCAAGACGCTCGGCTTCAACGTTTTTGCAGCGCTGCTCAAGGTCCAGGCGTTCTTCTGTTAGGGCCATGAGGTGGTCGTCGAGTTTTGCAATATGTGTCTTGATGTTTATTTCTTTGTCTTTGAGCGAGGCGAGGGATTGTTCGATGTCGTTGTGAGAAGTTTGCGGAGCCTGTTTGTGTTAGTATGGCTGGTTCTAGTAATTTGGAGATGGAGGAGTTACTGGAGTGCTAGCAGCAGTGGCAGCAGTGGCAGCAGCAGGAGTAGCAGGAGCAGGAGAAGGAGGAGGAGCCATATTTGCTGTTGGTGCACGGTATAAAGCTCTGAATGGGGCCCATGCACGCCGAATCTGTTCCTTGACGGGTTCTTTGGCGTCCTCGAAGTCGAGGGTTGCATCGCTTTCTTGGCTTTCTGGGAGAGTGACTGAGAGTTGCCTAACGGACCTGGCCAGCTTAGCTCTTGCTTCGTCCTCGAATTCACCGCATGCCGCCTTCAAGCCCTCAAGAATGCCTTTGTTGACTGGCAGAGGAAACTTGAGTTCGGACATGCCATTGCTTTCGGCTTCAATAGCTGCGAGTTTCTTCAAGAAGTAGTATCGCACCAGTGCGCCATGCTTGCCGCGCGAAGGCCTCTTAGGCATCTTGAATGCAGCTGCATTCTCTGCTCTCGAACTAATATTGTGGTTGCTATGCTGTTCCGAGTCTCCAGTAGCGCTATTGTACGAGCTGAATTCGAGGGTAGCTGGCTCGCCCTCCTTAGTAGGCGGGTAAAGCAAGACCCAGACTTCCTGAGCTTCACCATTCGGCTGCTTACGGACGTCGCCGAACAGTAGCATGAATGAGATAGCGTCATTCTCATGCTTTTGCGTCTTAGTGATGACTTTGTTGAGGGGTAGATATTCTAGAGAGGTTGCAACGGGCTCCCCAAGTTGTTTGCAGATTTCAGCTAAGTTCTTAGAAGCAACGTACGTTGCTGTAGCCGTGGAAGCCACTAATTATATTTAGTAGCAGTATAAGGTAAGAGGGGGATAGCTCTGCTTACTAGCGGTGGGGTGTGTTGTCTTGTTAACGAGACTAAGAGAGTGGAGTAGATAAGAAGCACCGAACGAGTGTGGTAAATAAAGCGCGCGGTTTGTTGATTCTAACGCGTAAAATATTAGTAAGATAGCTTTCACTACCCAAGTGAAAGACTATATCTAATCTGGTCTAGTTTGTTATCATGCAAACGCGGGAGATAGGTATTTACTCAGACAATAAGTGAAACTACATTAGCGATGACGGCATTAGCCTCACAGGTAGGTAAGTCTGGACTCTCACTCTCTTTCTTAGTTACATATACTATATAAAGATATAGTATATGTAACTAAGTTCTCGCGATCTGTATATTTTAAATAGAAAAACTATTCTAGTGTTCTATAATGAAAACTCCCTCCACCTATATATTATTCCTACTAGCATTTGACATTTTCATAGCCTCCACGATCGCCACCAATTAAGAGCATTCTAGCTTAAACTAGTTCCTATCGCCTTTCACTACATACTTGATCCGGCCTCGTGCTCTCCCCCACCGTTTGCACCAGCGAGGGCGCTAAGCCGGACCCGAATTCCTACGAACCCTGCGTTGTTGGGAAGCCTTCTCATGCCAATCCAGAATCCTCCTAGTTCGTTCCTGGTGAATGATGCAATGATAGATATAGTGCTGAAGCGCCCGGCGTCGGCATCGAACAAGCACAAGGGTTGTCTGGCGAAGCCGTTTTTCGCAGACCGTTTTTAGAAGATTAATAAATGTCTAGGTGATAGGAATACAGTTTATTTAAATTCTACAGGCGAGTTTTCTATAGTGAGTAGAAAGTAGCACTTAATTATTGTGTAAAGCTGTAGCTAATTAGTAGCTCTTGTAAAGGTAGGTAAGAGGTTAATTTTAGTACTATTAATATCTTGCTTGCTAATAACAGTTTCGCTCTAACTAATGCTTATTTCTATATTCTTTAGAAGATCAAATTAGGTTTTATAGATATAATGACTATATACATAAAGCGTCTCTATTTTTCTAAGACTACTTCTATATAGAATAACCTACGACCTTCTATTTACTTATAATGTAATAGTGAACAGAGCTACTCGCTACCCTAGGCTCTTTCACCGACGATTTAGTGGAGGCACAGGAGTTAAGTGTCGCCTGCTGTGGTTAGAGAACAGCCACGGACACTAATTAGCCGAACATTAAAAAGGATACAACTAACTATCTAATTCTCTCAACCTTACCCCATCGCAATTGAAGTACAGGGCAACCGGTCTCTACATAGAAGGCGTTGCGGTCTCGCACATTCTCTGCGCGCCCAATGGCTGCTATCACGCGAGCCGTAGGTCAATCAGGCCGTCGGTATTTCGTTGAAAAACTTCTATAAGAGAATCTAGGGCCGCTTGGTCGGGTATATCTCGCTTCGTGCGTCTACTCAAGATTACTTTCTTCATAATTCGCTAACGCACCCATAGAGCAGGTAATCAGCAACACGTCTTAAAGAGCGTACCCCAAAACGACTTCAAATACTTCCAAGACACGTCCAGTAACCTCAAAACCTCGCCTTACACCCGTGCAGCAGACGACGCGTTTCCAGATCACTCCATGTTCACCTACAAGTACTTCAAGGACCATTTACTTTCCTTCGCTCAGAAAAATTGTCTCGCTTCCTCTCATGAAACGAGTATTAAGAGACTCCCTGTGAGGCATCGCGACATTATACGAGAAAGAAATCATGCATACGGATATCAAGCCCAATAAAATTATGCTGGATTGAGACGAGGACGAAACGGTAATAGAACCATCCAGCAGGTCCAGCTTGCCCGATATCGCAGACGCCGCCTATGTCCCGGACGATTCTGCCATCGTGGGAAAGACAGATTGGGAATTGGATGTTGGCGAAGTCCAGAGGGTGCATGCTTTCTAGTCAGATTGACAAGTCATCTGACATCTTCTCCTTTGGGATTGTCGTAAGTCTCCGTTGTCTGACTTACGGTCTTTTTCCCTCTTGCCAACGTGCTGAAAAAAAATACAGTGTATCTACTACGCCCTGGCTTAAACGAGTTATTTTCGCCGTTGCGGACGAAGAACGCAAGGAGGGGGGCGAGGATAAGCTTGCTATAGTTCTCGAGAGGCAATTATCTTACTTCTCTGATCTAGACAGCCCTTGGGCCCAAATATTTACTGCCATCGCAGAGGACTTCAACAAAGAGTTTCCTCAGGAGTTGTTCGCATCGTGGAAAGATATTGAGCGGGAATTCAAGAACTTAGTCGGGAACACGACGAGGATTGATTTGAAGAGGCGGATCGCAGTCTATGATGCTTTGTCACATCGTTGGTTTGTAGATGTAGTGTGATTGAGTTGTTTGTTCTGGGTAGAATGAAGAGACGCAGGGAGCTCAAACATATTTCTGGACGCTCTATTAGATGGCCTTTGCTGAATGGTCGTTGGGTATGTCATCATATTCTTTTGTGATATGCACTGCAAAATACGGGCTCATGTCACGCGCACGATGGATGCATTTGATAGCACATACTAATACAATTTGAAGGTTCGAGCGATTATGATAAGACGAGTACTAAAGACCTTGAATATGTAGTAAAAGCAATAATGAGTACCCTGCACCATGACTCCAGCGACCGTTGAAGGTACTACTCATCATTCTTAAGCGTGTAGTCCTCGTAAATTTACCACAACTGGCAAGTGGGCTCCTTGACCTTGCACTGGAAGCTCTCTCTGAACTCCCTTGAGTTGGCCATCGTGCCCAAAATCCTAGCCCACTTTGGAGCATGCGGATCGGTGTAGATCCAGTTGATTGCGGTATCTTTGCGCGTCTTACCACACCACCAGTTGCTATAGCTGACAAAGAACATTTGTTCCTGGGTGAAGTGATCCAAGCCAGGAAGGTTCTTGTTGGGGGTCTCGGCTGAGCGGCGCTTCCATGCTTGGAATGCTGCTGACAGGCCACCTGCATCGGCAATGTTCTCACCCAGTGTAAGACGGCCATTGACATGGAGAGGCTTGTCGTCGGGTCCTGGGACAGTGAAGTTGGAGTATTGTTCAACAAAACACTCGGTCTTCTTCGTGAAAGCATCGATCGTACTCTTGGACCACCAATCTGTGAGGTTGCCATTTTGATCGTAATGACGGCCTGTGCTGTCGAAGGCGTGGCTGAGCTCATGACCCGCAACCGAGCCAAACGCACCATAGGACATGTATTCTGGGATTTCGACATCGAAGACGGGGAACTGCATGATACCCGCCGGGAAGACGATTTCATTGCCAGGGGGGTTGTAGTAAGCGTTCACTGGGGTCGGTTAGAAGACGTCGTTGAACATGTTCAGGGTACAATCACTTACCGGTTGGGACAGTCATGCCCCACTCGTCACGGTTAACAGGCTTGCCAAGAGCAGACCACTCCTCCTTGACAGAGAAAAGACGGACAGCAACCTCGTTCTCAAAGAAGGTATCTGAAGAGACATTGACCGGCTCATAGTATTTTTCAAGCGTAGGCGGGTCCATAATGTCTGGGCTCTTGGTTGGGTAACCGATCTTCTGAACGATATTGTGAACCTTCTCGACTGCCTTCTTCGTAGTATCATCATCCATCCATTGGGCTGCGTTGAGCTTCTTGGTGAACTCAGTCTTGATATCAGTGACGATTGTGTCGCCGAAAGTCTTAGCCTTGGCAGAGAATGCCTTTTCTACGAAGAAGCGACTAAGGATCCAACCTAGGCCATTATCGACGTGTCTAACGCACGTACGCCATCGCTCGGGAGCAGAGTCGGGGTCCTGCTAAAGTCAGAATATACGAATGGAGATCAAAAGATTATATGCATACCCTGCCAGAGAGTACGTTGACAAAGCGGCGGTATGGCTTGACAGCGTCCGCATCAACGTAACCGGAAAAGGACTGGACCGCCTTCCACATGAAGTATCCTTGGAGAACATCTTTTGGTGTTCCAGCCAGGATGGCTGACAAGTCTTTCAAGTACTTGGGGGTTGCCACGATAACACGCTCAACCTTAGTATTTTTAGGGGCTTGAGCTTCGAGCACCGCTTTCAGCTCAATCTCAGGGGCAATTGCTGCGGCCTCATCGATACTCATCGGGTTATAAGCTTTCTAAATTCTATTAGCTCTGACAAAGGTAGCATCCAGTATCATGTCTTCATATTATACATCATGTCGAGCACCTGGCGTCACCAGGAGTACATGACATACTATATGAAGCTCACAAGGGATGGACTTACGGTAACGTCTTCTCTGTCCTCCTCACTGGGAGATGCAGCCGCGAGCTTCTTCTCGAGATCAATGATGCTTGCGAATGTGGCCTTGTCATGATCTGGGTAGAGAGCACTGAGAACTTGGACAACAACGTCGCGGTATTTCTCAACAAGCTTCTCATCTTCATACCGCTCCTTAGACGGGAGTCCAATACTGCCAGGTGCGGCTACAGATACAACCACGGTGTCGGGATCAGTGTCATCGGGGCCAGTGCCAGCGGCTACAAGGCCAGAGATGCCGTACTTGGCCAACTCGAGGATAGCGTCCTTGATCGAAGGGGACTCGGACGCGCCAACAGGGAAGGCTTTCTTGATCTCGTCCAAGATGCGTACAAGAGGCTGCACACCGGCACTCTTGATTTGGTCTTCGTTGAGACAGGCATCATAGGCGGCCTTCATCTTGTCGAAGTTCTCCTCATCTGCGGATTTGGAGACGGACATCAGCTTCATAGGCGAGAAGTAGGAATGCTATAGATTCGTCAGTTCTATTCATTCCTATGATGTTTTACGCGCTTACCTCGGAATCCTTTGGGTAGGGTGCTTCAAGAATGTGACGCAGGAGCATCTGTGAGTTTTCACTCATGATGGTACCCGTGAAGACATCGCCTTGGTCAGCACGGAGGTCGTGGCGGTCTCTCCATCCACCACAGACCAGCTCCTCAAAGTCGTCGCATGGATCAAGCTCCTTGTACCGGGGCGAGAGACTGTGTAGGACTTCAGACGCCGCGTGTACGCAGGCTGGAGTCAGGCACAGCTCGCTGTCCTCTTGGTAGTCACCCGTGGGCTCATAACCGGCTAGCACGTGTCAGGGGTGATATATAGATTACAAGGGTGAATATACATACCTCGAGGGAGTCCATAGAGAACAAGCGAAGCCGTAGCAGCAATAGCAAATATCTTGCGCAAGGCTTGACGCCTGGTTGAGTGTACTGCTGGCGTCTGTGGCGCCGTTGCAGGTGCGGCTGACGCGAGGAGCGTCTTCTCCGACATGATGTAGTGCTGGTGATGTGTGATGTGCTGGAAGGCTATTTACGCGTAGAAACTGAGTTTATGATGCCAGCCAGCTGCACACCGATGTAGTATGTTGATGGATCGGAGAGCAGATGGATGATGGAGCTATGATGGATGGGGGTGTGGCTAGAAGTGGAGATCCGGGGTGCAGCTAGCGGGTTGGCGCGGAAACGCTAGAACGGGACCTTGCATGTGCATGACTCGTCGTTTCCAGACGTCATCCATTCTGGCAGCTGACAGTGTTCATCAGATATGTAGATGGTGCCGCCTACCACGACACGTAGCCATGCGCATAAGAGCATGCGCATCGTTCTACGCCTCATTCGTCTCCTCGGTTATCGCGATGCGCTACGAGCAAATAGAATGTCGGTGATATTGATGCGAGAAGACTTTGGACAGGAAGGGGAAATCAGATTATGTATATCTCGAAAAAAGCAACGTATTCGAATGCAGATGCCACGTTTCTGGATATCATGCACAAACCGCTCGGTCTGGTATCGTAAGGATCGTCCTGGTGAGCATGGTAATGTCAGGAATCTACTTCCCATACATCATCCACAGTGTATCAGCGTATTCACTATGTTAAGAAGGCGGGAGCCTACCAACGAAAAAGCAAATCTATATTTATCTCATTTTTTGCGGGACGCACTATCAAGTCTCTCTCCATACTTAGCACGATAGTTTCGTCAAAGATGCAGTGTTCCTCCCTACTCAGCAATTGACCCTATATCAATGATGATCCGCTTCGTAACAGGACCACTAATCTCCATCCTAGTATTCAATACATGGATACGTAAAGTGTAATTACCAACTTTCACTTGGTAATTCTTTCCCTACATTTGTGCTGGATGGGATGGACATTCCAGGTGCATCGCTGATATTGGGAATGTTCATCGTTTCACCCCTCCTAGCTCACACATTCATTTTTCCATTGCTGTACAACATTTCCTGTATTTTGTGATGTCTCCTTGCACTATTGCGGCCCTTCTGTGATGTGGTTTTGAAGCTACAGAATATCAACCAATCGACACAAAGGTCTGCTAAAGCTGATGTGGCGACATTGTTGCAGTTAGCGAACATACTCCTACATTACTCCCATACTGACAGCTATCAGGTGCGATACCTTTAGCCATCGAACGTGACCGATACCGGCGCACGTGACGTCCATCAATTGCTAGATGGGGAGGATGTCGCGTTGGACAGCTACCGCGTGTTACCCCACCCAACAGCTACCCCGCCCCACCACGTCGCACGCGTTCAACACTTGCCGGACGTGACCGAGTTGTCAATTCGACAGTTATCACGCGCGAATACACCTGATTGCGTATCAGGACGCCTCAAGACCAAATATAACATGCTGTAACCCTCGTTAATGGACACGGCAGATATAACACGACCGTCATGGAGACCTTTGATAGCTCTCATCACACTAATCGACTATCCTTTTAGGGTCACTTCTCACAATCATGCCGATACCCCCAATCAGGCTACAGATGAACGTCACTGGCGATCACAATTGCAATCGATAAGTGTGAATGGGTACGTAGACCTCGGCAAGCTCTTTGACTGACACGTCTGCAAACAACGTGCAATCACGTGAGCTCGAACATTCTGGTACAGTACGTACCGTGGGACGCCTAACGATGATTAATTATGGTCGAATCAAGTGACGATAGACGAACCTCGGTCCATTGCAGAGGTGACGCTAACAAATAGTACGCGGGCTGCGGACGCGGACGCGGACGTGGCGGTGAGACGGGCGAGATATGCATCGATACATAAGCGAGATCTCCTGTCCGATTGAATCGATCGCATCTCAGATCGGGCAATTGAACTCTTACACTCCCTGACAGTATTGATACATCTTTTCAAACAACATCATGGCTTTGGACTTTTCACAGTATGGCGGCCCATCTGAGGAATGGGTTGCCCTGGAGAAGACACTACCTCAACTAAACTTCGACACCTCAGCGGACCCCGCTACGCTCCAGAAGTTTGTCAATGCCGAAAGAGAAGGGAAAGCTGCCGAAGCAATGAAGCATTTCGCGCCGCACGTAACCA